AATTGGTGGTACTAAAGACTATAATACTTTGTGTAACTATTAATTTGCAGATCCTTATATTCATGTTTTTAACCCTAAATATCTTGGAATCTACCAAGCCAATTTTAATAATCTAATTACTATTAGAACCAGCAAAGTCTTCTCTACAATTTTACTTAGAAGCTTAACAAACCCTAACTTAATAAAATTTTTTTTTAATTTTAAAAAAATTAATTTTCTTTATATTTGCATCTTTAACCCTAATTATCTTGAGATCTACCAAGCTGATTTTGATAATCTAACTACCATTAGAACCAGAAAAGTCTTCTCTACAACTTTACTTAGAAGTCCAACAAACCTTAACTTAATAAAATTTTCTTTAATTTTAAAAAATCAATTTTTTAAATTTAATTAGTTGTTAAAAATAGAATTTTTTATATTTTTTGTATAATCCACAGTGAAAATAACAAAAAACCATGGTGAAAATAACAATTCCTTTCTTATATTGTCTATGTATTCTATAGAATATTCAAATAGTATATTATCTAAATTTTGTTTTTAAAAAACAAAATACAGTCTATAAATACAATATATACAAACTAGTCTAAAACATGCATTTAGAAAAGTTTGTATTTAGAAAGAGCTAATTAAATTGCAGCTTTTAATATTTGATTTGTAGGCTTGTATAACAAATTTAAATACTAGCTTCTGATTGGCTATATATATTTAGAAAGGTTAGTATAATATAAAAAATCTTTTGAGTAAACGTATATTTGCAGAATATAGAATGTGCATTTAGTACTAATAATTTCATATAGCCAAAACAAAAATATATATTTAGAAAGATATTGTATTTATAAAGGTTGCATTTAGAGAAGTCTGATTGTATAATCTTAAAATAACAAAATTTTAACTTTATAAGTTTTTCATTTTATATTTATTTATTATCTTCTAAAATTTTTATTTTTTTATTTTTTTGTATCAAAATTTTTATTAGATAAATAAATTAATAATTTTTAGTAGAGTTCCAATCTATTATCCGTTTATCTGTTTATCTGTTGGATATCCGGATATCAAATAGATAATCGGATAAAATGGATTAACAGATGGATAACTGAATTATCCAATAAATTATTCGGATTGATGCAAGGAGTAAGTGTTAATGCAAGGAGTGCATATTGATCTAACGGTTGATCTAACGTTTGATGTAATGAGTGTTATATGATATAACAGTTAAGATCTAACGGTTAATCTAATGGTTGATCTAACAGTTGTTCTAACGGCTAATCTAACAGCTAATGTAATAGGTGTTATATGATAACAGTTGATATAACGGTTGATATAACGGTTGATATAATGGTTGATATGACGGTTGATATGATGGTTGATATAATGGTTGATATAACAGTTGATATAATGGTTGATATAACGGTTGATATAATGGTTGATATAACGGTTAATCTAATGAATAGAATTTTGATAAGGCAGACGTTATATAAAGAAAGCAAAGAGAATTTTCAGTTTGTTTTTTTTTGCTTTTTAATTTTTTTTTGCTATTGCTAATTTTTTTCTTTCTTATAGATCTTGTATTTTACCAAAAAAAATTAATAGACACTGGGCTTAAGATCTTGAACCTGAAATTGGTACAAAGATAAGTACTAGTTTGTTTTTTTTTTGCTTTTTCATCTTTTTTTTGCTGTTGCTAACTTTTTTTTCTTTTTTGTAGGTCTTGTACTTCACCGAGAAGAGTTAATAGGCACTGGGCATGAGATCTTGAATCTGGAACTGGTATAAAGATAAGTACTAGTTTATATTTTTTTGCTTTTTCATTTTTTTTTTGCTATTGCTAAGTTTTTTTTCTTTCTTGTAGGTTTTGTACTTTGTTGAGAAGGATTAATAGGTATTGAGCTTGAGATTTTGAATCTGGAACTGGTATAAAAATAAGTACCAGTTCATATTTTTTTGCTTTTTTGCATTTTGGTATTGTTATTAACTTATTTTTTCTTTCTTGTAGGTTTTGTACTTTGCTAGGAAGGGCTAATAAGTACTGGGCTTAAGATCTTGAATCTGAAACTGGTACAAAGATAAGTACCAGTTTATATTTTTTTGCTTTTTCATATTTTGGTATTGTTACTAACTTATTCTTTTTTCTTGTAGGTCTCATACTTCACCAAGAAGGGCTAATAGACACTGGGCTTAAAATCTCGAATCTAGAACTAATACAAAGATAAGTACTAGTTCATTTTTATTTGCTTTTTCATTATTTTTTTGTTTTTTATTTTTTTTATTTTTTTATTTTTTTTGCTATTGCTAACTTTTTTCTTTCTTATAGGTCTTGTACTTCATCAGAAAAGGTTAATAGACATCAGGCTTGAAATCTTGAACCTAAAACTAGTATCAAAATAAGTACCAGTTTATTTTTTTTTGCTTTTTCATTTTTTTTGCTGTTGTTGCTAACTTATTCTTTCTTTCTTGTAAATCTTGTACTTTGCTAAAAAGAGTTAATAGATACTGGGCTTGAGATCTCAAATCTAGAACTAGTACCAAGATAAGTACTAGTTCATTTTTTTTTTGCTTTTTCTTTTTTTTTTGCTGTTGTTGCTAACTTTTTTTTTTTTTGTAGGTCTTGTACTTTGCCAAGAAGAGTTAATAGGTACTAGGCTTGAGATCTTGAACCTGAAACTGGTACCAAGATAAGTACTAGTTCATAGTTTTCTTTGCTTTGTTGTATTTTAGTGTTGTTACTAACATTTTTTCTAGATCTTGTACTTCACTAGCAAGAATAATAGGGACCAGATTTA